TGTTTATGAAACAGAAAGAGGAAAGACAATCTTTTTTGCAGAGACTATGCGAAGGTCACAGCATACACATTGTGCGTCATCAGAACTTTCAAATTGCTTGTATGGTTTTAAGTAAAATGGGTCTAGGGAGATTACACCAGATGAAAAAAAGTTTAGGGAACTAGCCAGAGACAGTTATGCAAGAGCCTAAGACTTCAAACAGATTTCTACACACACTTTTGCTAAGCCTCATTTCTAGTACTTGTTCCTTTATGACGATTCCTATTTTTTTGAGTTTTCATCCCAGGTCTAGCTTGAACCTGAGCTAACCAGACAGAAATGAATGGAACACTGCCCTGCTTAACTCTGTTTTTCTGCTATCTCGTCAGGTGTAAATGACTGACTGGCCTCAGAAGCAGAAACGCATAGAAAAAGGAGCGATGATGCATTCACTGCCCGCAGCAATGAAGCCCTGGGGTCTTTTCAGCCCGGGGTACTCAGATCAAGCAGTCATCAAACCGCATGACAGCACAAATTTATGTCCCTCTCCTCCTTCCCAGCTTTCTGCCCTTCATAAAATCCATCAATATTCCTACTCCAAATTCCTCAGAGATACACTATTACCAGACATAGACAGACAGCCATCAGTTAGTGAGGTACAGCTCATAAGTAGCTCACTAAAAAGCCTGCTGGGATAAGGGAGGGAACTGCTGTGGGTGTATTGTTCCAGTCCCATCATTTCCCAAAACACTGAATGAAATAATAACTTGTTTATAATGATGCATGACATCAAGGCAATACTACATAGAAGCACTTGAGAAACACTTTTTGATACTTGAGAAACAGCTTCGAATCCTATGACCTTTCTCCAAGTGAGAAAGTCTTTAGGGAGGCCATAGGATGCAGAAAGCCCTACAATTCTTCTGGTTCTCTAGAATTTTTATTTTTTTTCCTCAGATTTAAGAAATGGGCAGGACCACATCCACTTGCCACACTTGAACCTGCCTGTTTTCTCTTCCCTTAGAGCTGATCACTCTGGCTTAAAGCTGAAGATACCTCCCTTGCCAAGAAGTTTTGGGATTGATACACCAGTTCATTCCACAGTACATTTTTGACATAAAATGAACCGTGTACAGGCACTTGAGCCATTCTTCTCCAATAAGCTATAGGAGGAAAAAATTGCACTCCCTATGTGCTCACATTACATAATTTTCCTCTCCCTTTGCCTTTACCTATCCTGCTTAAAAGTAACTGGCCTTACAGGTTCACAGCTTTCTTTTTGATACACTCTGCCACGATACCACAATTAAATCCTTTTGTGCTATATGGCCATCAATCCCACTTCCCTTTGACGGTACACTAGGTGCGCTGCCTGGTTGCATTCCCTGTTTCTAAGCAATAGAGAGAGTTTGCTGACCAGTTAACCTCTTGTATTTTCCTATTGTACAGTGTAGTAAAAATGAAAGAAATCCAAAGTTTAGAGGGGGGAAAAAAAAAAAAGGCAAAATAAATGAGAACTGATTGTGTTTCCCCTGAGAGAAGATCTGCTTTAGAGATGTAATCTAATGCACCTTCTATCCCGTCCTCCCCATATGCAGCTTCTTCTTCCAAAGAAAGGAATAATGTCTTCAGCATCAGTATGGGTGACTTATGTCTGGGCAACTAGAAAGTCTCAGGACTGAGCCCTGCTGATGACTTAAGCTGCTCTGTGTACAAAACGCCATGCATGGAAGGCAAAAGCCTTGTTTTGTTGCCCCAAAAAGGGAAGAAGGTTTAGAGGCTTGCTAAAAACAACCTTCGATCAGCTGTACACATCTAGACAATGTCTTGAGTGTCCCAGATGGTCTCAGCTGTTGGCATAAGCAATGACAATGACATTCATTTCTTTGCATGAGACTCACCACATACATCCCATGCGAGTACAATTTTTCATCTGCTTGCTGATGGAAAGTTAAATTCACCCAGAGAAAAGCTATCCTTGAGGCCCACAGGATCCCAAATCCTGTGGAAAAAGTCTCAGTGGGGAGGGCTAGTCGTACGACCACTTCCGGCTACTATCTAATTTTATCTGTGTATCACTGATACTGAACGCAATTCTTTTTATCATGAGAACCCCCTGACAAACAGGACTAAAAATAAAAAGCAAGAGCTTGGAGTTGGCACAAGCTGTGCTACATGGACTCCAATTTGTATAGCAGGAACTATAATCACTCTGAGACGTGCCCAAGCCCTCAGGCATCCCACAGGATTTCAGTCACTTGTTTACAAGGTGTTCTGATTTGCAGCTGTTTGACTACTGTGGCATTTCGAGAGGGGGCGGTTTGAAAGGATGTTGTTACTTTGGACTTCGGGATTGGGAAATGGGTATTGAAAAATCACACAAGAAAACAGGCGAGTGCTGTCTTTGTTCTTCCCCCCTTACATAGGAATGACGTCAGTGCTGGGGAAGGGAGCTCCAGGAACAGATCAGTGCTCTGTAGGGAAGGAGCAGGGAACAGGTAAAGCCCTGAAAATGGAGCCATGCCCTAACCTACCACACCAGAGTACCTCATATCTGATGTGGGGGGACTAAGCTCCAGAGGTAAGAAAGGAACCGTCCAAGCCCATTGTTTTTCTGCCTTTTCTAACAAAAAAAGCAAATAAATTGATACTGTGCCATGGACACCCCTAAGAACTGGGCTAAAGGCCGTCACCAGCTCACTTCAAACAGGCCAGCAACTGAAATGGATTTGGCCACTGGCTCAAAGTGATTTAGCAATTGAGACAGCTCTTTCCATCATTCCTGCTCTCCTGACCTGGGCAGTTCCTCTTTCAGAGCTACATTAAGCTAATGCCCACTTTCTTCTGGGCCCTCTTGGGATAATGGATGCAGATATGCAGAAAGAATGTAAAAATCCATCTGTTATCCGGGATGAGTGATTTGCACAATGGTGCCCATGAGTGTTTGTTTAACACTGTGGACAGCAAGAACCCTGCTAAGTTGTAACACACTGAGAAAGGAAAAGCAAGAAGAGAGGAGAAAATAGCCTGGCAGTTTTAAAACTAATGTCCACCGAGCTGTGTGCATTTTTTGGCTTAGTTAGCTGTTTGCGTGTTTTTTGTGGGAAACCAGGAAGGACATGTGGAGCTTTTCCCAGGCTTTAGAGTGTTATTCTCTTGTTTCCAGCACTAGGTTTTTGTATGTGTTAATTGACAATAACTCGTGTAGAGAATATAGCACCAAGAGGATATTTACCTCGCAAACATTTCGTCTGCTGCCCCTCTCTCCTCTCCTGTGACTTTTTCAAGTGACAACTGACTTGAAGCGCCACGCACACTTGGAGAAGCGTCACCCCTGCCAACCTTGGACACGAGCCCCTTGCCTGCCCAGTGTGTGCCAGCAACCTGACCGCACTTTCTTGGCAAGGAGCAGCCATCTCCTCACTTCCTGGAGGCAAAAGAGAGCTCAGCCTAGAATGTAAAGCACAAAAATGGAAAGAATCAGTTAGATTGTAACATGACAAATTGTTGTTTTTCTAGCTGAATTAAAACCTACCCTGTGTTTGATTCTGAGTGACACTGATCGGTTTGGCACCAGCAGCTTCTCCACTGGAGACATGAGTGACTTCTCTTTAAGCAAGCATCAGAATTATCTAGGCTGGCATTACAGTTCATCACACTCCTTGCTTTCTCTAGGCAAAGTTGAAGGAAAAATCTGCATTCGCGTTGCACATGCCATCGAAGATCTCAACGTGCACGACTTGCCCTAGCTCACATGGCAAATCTGTATCAGAGTCAGGGTCAGAAGTCCTGACTCCCTCTCATTTCCTCCAGCCAGGATGCCTTTCCCCCGAGGTTAGCTATGACTACTGCCATCAGGGACGCACTCTACTGTCACCACCTTGCCATACATACCAGTTTTAGATTCCCTGTTTTTCACCCATAGCTATGGAAAACTGTCTGCAGAAGAGGCTGCTAGAAAGGAAGTTGAAGATTGCTGAAGTCTATTCTAATCCATGGTATCTATATTTATGCAGCCCTTGTCACAGCAGAGCAGAGAAAATGTCACTGGAACAGTTTTCTTTTTGCCAGCAGCCAAGAGGTTTAAAAAGAGGCAGTATAACCTCTATTTGATGATGTGTTTGTACAAATGTTTAACTTGCTATTTCATTTAAAAATCATCTTTAATGTTGATTTATATTCCTGGCAGTGAAGTCAGGAGGTTGGCAATCCCGTTCTGTTTCAGTCTGTGCTCTGACTGAAGCAGTAACGCAGATCAAAGAGAAGTCTTACAGCACTCACATTTTATCATCCTGAATGTTTTCAAGTTCTCACTCTGATATTCATGGGCAGATTATGTAACTATGGGATTTATACTTCTGAAGGCCAAATAGTAAAGGTTGAAATGTTGTATCATTAAGAAGTATTTGGAAATAATTGAATTGAAACAAGGAAGAACATATCAAGTGAACACTTGACACGAGCAGCACTGCTTTCCTTGAGATGTCATCTTGCTCCAGTCATTTATAGGGTCAGCCATTTGTTTTTGTGCCGTAGAATATCAAATTAACTGCATGTTATTATACATTCCAAGTCTTGCTTTTCCATCTAAATATGTCGAGCTGGAATTTTGATTGCCTTAGTAATTGCTAAATATTCAAGGACTCGAATTCCATCATTAGCAGTTTGCCTAATTGGCGGGAGAGGAAGGCGAAGCAAGCCACGGCCGTTCTGCGAGTTCTTTGTACGGTAAGAACTTACAGCTCGTTATGGAACTGGTCAGAATGACGACATCTTGCCCCGGTGCCTCCCCGGGGCTCCCTGCCCATCGCTTTCGCGCAGTACCGCTGAGGTACCGACGCGTTTGGCCCCCCGGTCCCCGCCGGCCCCGCACCCGTGCCCGCTGCGAGCCCCCGGAGCGGGCGCGAGCGCCGCCACCCCCGCCTGCCGCCACCGGGCTCCGGCCCCGCCAGCCGTTAACGGTCACCGCGCCCCGCCCACGCGCCGGCCCCGCCCCGACAGGCGGGACGGCAGCGGCCACGCCTCCTCCCGCCGCGCGACCCGGACGCGCTTGTGGCGGGCCACCCGGAAGTAGTGGCGGCGGCGGGGCGGTTCCTGCGGGGCAGCCGGCGTTATGTTTGTAACGGCGGCGGCGTGTGAGTGGCGCGGGGAGGCGCGGGGCTGTCCGGCCCGGCCCGGCCCGGCCCCGGGAGGCGGGTGGGGGACGCAGCGACCTGCCCTTCCCCCTCCGGCTGCGGTGAGGCCTGCGCCTCCCGGCGTGCCCCGCGCCGCCGCCGCCTCGTGCCCGCGTGGGGCGGGGCCGCAGTTGGAGAGGGCGCGAGGCGGCCGGTGCCCTGAGGGACGGAGCCCCGGGAGGGGGAACGGGTGGGGGGGGCTGTGTGCGAGCGGTGCCGCCGGGACAGCCCCTGTGGTAGGGGGCCGGGGGGGATGCTCGGGGGAAGTGGCCACTGACAGCCCTCGGGAAGCGGGGGCGGCGGAGCTTCGGCTCCTGGGTGGGAAAACGGGAGGGCGGCGGCGGCGGCGGGCGGCGCGTGAGGTGCGAAACGTGCCCGTCGCGGCCTCTGCGCGAGCTTGGGGCGGGGTGGGGGAGCGGCCTGAGGGGAGGCGGGCCGGAACCTCACGGTGGCCTGCGCAACGATTGGGCGCACAGAACACGGATGAGCAATTTTTAAAGATCTGGTAGGGTTTGGGGGGGGTTGGGTTTTTTCATTGCATTTATGCCCTAGACTTATGATTACTTCAAACTCACTGAGCTGACAGAAGAAAACAATCCTGCCCGTTTCGTGCTACGTGGTGGGTTAGCTCAGGGGACCCAAAACCAGCCTTGTGAGAAAGTTAGTCTCATGCCAGAACAGCTCCCTGGTCTGGTTCACCCTGCGGCCACACCACCTGTGTGTTGGCGCTGCGGCAGGAACCGGGGAGTGTGAGGGCCTGCTGTCCTCACCCACACTTACTTCATACCTGCCTTAACTGTGTCTCCATCTAGTGAATTCGTATCCAGCATTGAAGCTTTATGTCAAAAACATCTGGGGGCTGCAGCAAGTGCAACCTGCTGCGCTAGGTGCTGCGTTCACCCAGGCACGTGGAAAGGCGGTATGAGGGAAAAAAGAGCAGGTGACTGGGAGCGCACAGATGGAAGGACAGGGGGGAATTTATTTTGTGACAGTAAATTTCTTTGCACAATGTATCTGGCGCTATTGCGAAGGCAGGCAGTGGAAAACTATATCTTGCATATAAAGGAAACAAGATAAAATGATAACTTTCTTTTTTTTTTTTTTTTTTTTTTTTTTTTTTCCCTCCATGCTGCAAAATAACAGTGGCCAAGAGCAAATCTAAGTAAGTGATGCTTTCCTCACTAGCTTTTGATTTCTTCTACCACCCTGTATCTTCAAGTGACTTTACAAAATGTTATGCTTCTCTAGAATTTTTTAATATCTCTGAGAGAATTGCAGTCCTTGAGTCTAGCTGCATTCTCTCTGTCCTTCTGCATGCGTGTCTTTTCACAGGTAAGTACAGAATGCTGTGAAAAATCCCCTAGGTTCTAAAATTGCAGCATGGCAGGTGTCCTATGGGCTGTCGTGTTGAGCTGAGCTGTAACACCCAAAGCGCCCAGCGCAGGGGAGGCATGCTTCTGAGCATTATGATTAAAGAGAGGCTATAAATTATTCACATAATCTTCCTCTAGTTTACCTTTCATACATTTTTAGCTGAGGAGGGCAAGCCGAGGTAGATCATAGGTCTTTGTTGTTTGTAGGCTGGACTTTGGGCAGGTGCCGTGAACCTTTCTCGTAGGCAGGGTGCAGAACACTTCCCAGTTCCAGCACGCTCCTATGTTGATACGTGAGGAGTGGACAAGGCACAGCCAGTGCTCTGGGCACCTTGATTTGCTCTGTAGTTCAGCTTGGGAGAGGTGTTAGTGTGATCTGGAAGAAAATTAGTCACGGTCCTTTGACCTGTAAAGAAAGCTGATGTGTTTTAAGTGTTGGAAAGGAAGTAATAGATGCTTTCAGCACACCAATAGTGTTACAGTGTGGATGTAAGGAGAGAGGATCATGTGAAGAGAATGACTTGCATCCAGAATGCTGTTTGTAAGAAAATCAGCTGGACAAATGTCTCAGTTTGGCCCCTTGGATTTATGTGAATACATTCCTGTCTTCTGTATATCAGAAATTGGTTCAGTGCAAGTGTATTACATTTGGTACTGCACAACCTCAGGAACTATGGCCTTTGGTAGATTTTCTGATTTTTTTGTTTGTTTGTTTGTTTTAAGAATCAGCCTCCAGCAGAGTCAGTACCAACCACTTTCTGGGTCTGAAGGCATTCTTCTGTTAGAGGATTTCTGCACAATTGTCAGGGTTTGAAATTAAGAAAGCACTTCCCACGTATGTGCCTCATAGGGAAGAGCAGTTTAAAATCTCGGCATTGTACTGTTATCTGCTTGCAGAAACAAACACATCAAAGCAAGATGTTTCCACAAGGTGAAAAAGTAGCTTTTAAAAATGGTGCTAGTAATATTAATATGATTTCTGCCCCCCCACTCCTTTTTTTTTTTTTTTCCTGCTGATGTTCCTTTGTCTGGTCTTTGTATAGTCCCATACATACTTCAGGAATATGTTATCTCCTTATATTATTTATCCTTCTGTGTTCCCCTTGGGTTTTTGTCCCCATGTCCTGATAGCTTTCCCCTATTCTTTCCTGCCTCTGCTCCTAGCTACATTTCTTTATCGGGCAGCAAGTTTTTTGAACAAGGTGTATTGTTCAGAAAGGGCTTGGGCTCAGATATGTGATGCACAAGAATTTCAAGGCCCAGTTATACTGATACCACTGATTCCCCCAGAAAAGGGAAACTGCACAGAAGCTTTGAGGAAGTGGGTGAGGTATAGGGGAAGGAGCCTGTGTGGTTACTGGTGCGACATATCACACCTGCAGGAGTGTACAGGAGAGGACAGTAATTGGGGATAATCCCTCGACTATTCTTGGTCACTTGGTCTGCAGGAATCCAGTGGTTTTGTGTTTATTTTGAACTCAACAGTAAATCAGATTGCAAAGCTGAAAGGGAGAACTCAGGGAAGTACACTGGTCAGAGCTGCACAAGTGAGGAAGAATGGCTGTCTCTTCAAGGTTCATTTGGAAAGATCATTTTGTATTAGAAGCAGGAAAATCCAGGAAAAGGAATTGAATGCCCATGTGCAGAAATGCTGCCGTCTCTTTATTGCAATGGAAGAGAAATGTAGTTTACGGACTGGTTGAAGGGTTTGACCTTTCTTTTGAAGCTTCAGAAGATGCCCTGTGTCTGGGCAGGTCTCGGCACACTTGCAGGGTGGGGGGCGAGGGGGTGGCTTTCTCTGTCTCCTGGCTTTCCCTGCTCCAGGCACCCAAGCTGGTGCCAGCCCCGCCCCGGAGCGGGAGCCCCCGGCGGGGAGGGGCTTCCCGAGGCCGCGATAACGTCAAGCCCCGTGTCTCTGGCGGGGTGGATGGTGCCAGGGGCCCTGCTTCTCCTTTTGCATGCCTCTTGTTCCATCCTATCTGCTCGGGTTCCTCTCTGCATGTGGAAGTGATAGTCTGTGATACAGGCTTATCTCCAGCCCGAACATCTGTAACTACCATCATCCTTCCTCTCTTGCCATTATCTTTTAAGCCATAGTGACTCAACTGTATGCTGATTTTCTTTCTTTTTTTTTTTTTTTTTTTTTTTTTTCTTTCTTTGCTCTTTTTCTTCCTCCCCTCTCAGTGTTTTGTGGAGGAGCTACTTCTCCATGGCCTTGTATTCTGTTCAGGAGTTACTTAAACTTGATGCTGTAGCTGATGGTTTATAATGGGCTCTTTGTTACCAGTTTAGCATGTAGTATTGACACTCCCATCCAGAACATCCACAAAGTTGCAATGACGTATCTCATGTGGTTGTGCCAAACTGCTTATGCTAAAAGCTTGTCTGTTTGACCGTGCCTTGGCAGACTGGTGGGCTGCTGGCCTGTGCCTGTGCACTGACACAGAGACATTCCTTGTGACTTCAGATACATCCTGGTGAGGATGAAAAGTGCGGCCGAGACAGGCTACTGTTTCAACATCAGGAGACTCCGACTGCAGGAAAAACTGGTCCTGCTGAGATACGATCCCATTGGTAAGAGCTTGGGGAAGAAGTCAGCCTGCTTTGTGTAAGCTGCTCTAACTGTGTGGGGCAAAAGATTTGAATATAACAGGATTTTTCCCATCTAAGCAGAATATGTCATAACATGTTTCATACTCAGATGACTGTACAGTTGCTGTTCTTCATGACATTCCAGTGGGAAGTAAAGGTTGCCCTCATTTTACAGATTGTGGTGGTAAAACAAAGTAATGACTTGCCCGACACATCCGTCTTTGATGACAGCCATGCCACATGTCAGTGGCAAAGCAAAGTGACACAGGAGTTCTTTCATTCTGTTTCTTTGTGTGGTTTGCTAGACGGTGCTACCTCCAACAAGCAGCCATGAAGTATGCATCAATAGAAACGTTCTGTTAAGCTGCCATGGGTGCTCTAGACAATACCTTTTAACCATCACTTACAAAATGGACTTTTGAAGAAATAAACACAAGTTTGTCCTCCTCCACAAATGATACTGCTCTCCAGATGACAGTTTGTGGGCTCTCTTATGTTCTTCTGGTCCTTGCATATTTTCTCAGTTTAAGAATCTGATTTTTTTGGGGGGGGATTATAGCACTTGCCAAGCTGCCTTTTGCTCACCAAGCCTTTTTGAAAGGGGACTAAGAGCTCAAGTTTCTGGAGGAGGAACCAGTCTGTAGTTAACCTTAAAAAGCTTAATTTAGTGTTAAAAAGCTTAATTTGGGGAAACTTAAGATTTAAACCAGACCATGCGAGAAATAGCATGGTGGAGTTAATGTAAAAGATTATTTAAGTTTGTGAAGAAAGGTATTAAGTGGTTCTAAGTAGACAACATAATGCATGGTCTGTAGTTATGTCGTTCAAGCTTATTTTTTCTTACAACTTTATGTTCATGATAGATGACTAACCTTTTCATACGCCGATCTAACGGTACAGGAGCTTTATGGCAGGTGAGAGAAACCAGCAGGCAAGCAGTATGCTCTCACCAAAGCACTCATGCTGACAGAGGTTGTGGCTCTCCTGAATTCCGTACAGAAGGGGAATTGGAGATCACAGGGATTATTTTCTTGAGTAAGAAAAGTTTAAATTACTGCATCGAAACACTGTGCAAAGTGATCCTCCAGAAGCTTCGCAACTTGTAGGAAATGTGAAGAGAGTGGAGAGCTCAGGCTAAGTAGCACTTCTGTTGCAGAACATGTAGTAGGTTGTTGAAGTACGAAATTGGAAGTAATTAAGAAAAAAAGCTCTGATCTTTGTAGCCTGTAGTAGAACACAAGTGAGAAATTGATGTGAGAAAGTGCTGCATGTGTGAAGGGAAGTAAATTTGAGTCTAGATACCAACTCACATCAGGAATATGTTAGGAAGCATTTTCACTTGGCATGCATTTTCACCTTATGTTTTGTACTTCTCGAAAACCTGGGACCTCCACAGAATGAAGCTTTTTAGTGAAGTAGTGGCAGTAGTGCCCAAGTTTCACTACCTCCTAACTGCAGCAACAGAATGTGTTACTAAGTTGCAGTATTTCTTAAAGCGAAACTTTTATGTGGAAGAAGAGAGTTTGTTATTGTGCGGATTACTCTGGCGTAGCTTTCAAAGGAATTCATATAATGAAGTTCAACAGGGACAGTGGTGCTCTTCAGATGGCATTGTAAAGCTTTATTTTTTTAATTTGTTTTTTAGTAACGCGTTGGCTATGCTTAACCTGTAGCTGAACTGACTTTGCTAACACCTGCATCGGGCCTCGGAGGCGGGGCCAGTCTGTGCCTCACTGGGAGATCCACAGGACATGACTTTTCAGTCCGTCTGTGAGGCCGACCAGATCCAGCTCATCATCTGTAGTTGTTTGGGCTCTGAAGCTGAGTAGTAGAAAGCAGTAAGAAGCTATTTTTGTCCCTACATCGAGCAGCTGTGACTCAGAATAGTCACACAGAGCAGCTGTTGAATGTTTTCAGCCACCCAAATCCTGATACTTATTTTCACAGAGGTAAAATGGACTTCTTAGGAACTAAAAATTACGTGAGGTAAAGTGAAAGCACTGCTAAACTCCTTCAAGAGCTGGTTAACAGCAGCGCTGTGCCAGTCAGTTGCTCCGCACTCGTTTAAGCAGCGAAGGCAGCCAGGAGAGAGGGATGTAGGCTCGTTGAATTGCATCTTAACACTTCAGCCTTCCTAACAGATTTTTTTTTTTTTTTCTCTACAGCAAAACAACGTGTCCTCTTCACAGAGAGGAAAAAAATCCGCTCTCTCTGAACAATGACTGGAGTTGATTTATGCAGGAGGAGAGGATGGTCTGGGGGGAGGATGGGGTGAACGCTGATTCAGAAATCGAGCAACATGGGCTGAAAAGAGAGGAAATGAACTGGGATCACCGTCTCCTGTGATTTGAAGGCCATTGTGAATAAAACAATGTAGAGAGAGAAAATTCTTAATGTCTGGACATAGATCATCACAGTAACATTTATTTATCTTTTGAGTTATTTTTACAGTACTCAATTAAAAAAAAATTAAATAGCAAATCCCATTGTCTGTGTTTTCCATTGTGAAAGAGGCTGTAATCTTCAAAGGAACTATTGTTTTATAAGGCAATAAAAATTAACATTTTCCACAGCAGGAATTCAATGGCAGGATTGCAAGTTTTTCTAACCTACCAGCCCCAGATTCAACAGTAGCGACCGCGAATTGGTGTCATTCCTTGGAGGGGTAGTGTTGCACCAGCTCCCTCCTAGGAAAGGAAGAAGCAAGGGGAACCTGGTGAAATAAGATGACCTTTTGGACGAGCTGTGACCACGGCTAAAAGGGCTATATTATTTTCAGTCAGGTAACTAGGATGAATTTTTTTCACTCCTGGATTTTTGTCGAGCATGAAGAAAGTAGACAACCAAAGTAGTTCTCTGATGTTTCGGGATTTTTTTCTTTAAGTAGCTCAGTGATATTTGGAGCAATAGGGCTAGAAACATTTTTCAAAGTCTACCTCGATAGCACTCGATAGCAAAATCATGTGCTGGCGTTGCATAGCGGAAGTTCTGATAAAATCAAGTAAAAATATCAGGAGCCCAACTACACTCCAGATGTTTTGCTGTAAATTTTGTGTAGCTCAGTCTAGCGCGTTGTGTGGGGCTGGAGAGACCTGCCGTGCTGCATTTGAAAGACCCACCACCCTCACCCCATCTCACTTGTAGAACAAGAACTAATAGGATTTCTCAAATAAAAAGCAAAGAGACTTTCCTGGTGTTTTCAGTCAGCAGAGGAGAGCCTCAGTGTAGTCAGGAGCATAATGCTGTCTGGGAGAAGATAAAATCAGTACATTGAGCTAGACAATGTCAATTAGAAAAGGTCCTGAGGCAAGTCCTTCCTGTAAGGATATGAAGATTGTGTCCCTGATGCCTGGACACTCACTGATGCGATGCAGTTAGACTTCCTGATCATTTCCTCCATGGGCAGCTCGGGATAGTAAGCCAGGTAGAAGGCCAGTGCTCCCACGAAACTGTCTCCAGCTCCCTGGAATAAAATAACAAACAAGTTTAAGTGTATTCGCACAGGGAAACAATTCAGGTGCGTTTACTGGAAAAACAAAAGTTGAAGTGCTGATTGCAGGAGTCAGGAAATTGTTCAGGGGTTGAGTTCAATTCACTTTTCTATGTCTAGGAAATTCTGTTGTGTTAAACTAATGCCATGATCTTTGCGCACAGCTGTTGAATCAAGGTACACGCTATAATACAGCTTAAAATTAAAAGCAAGTATGCTACATTTCAGCAACATGCTGTTATAAATACTGCTTTTGAAACTTCCTGTTGTTGGAGTGTCCGATTTTGATTTCTCAACCTAAATGTTCCATTAAAGCTATTTTTCTCTCATTTAACTTCTGTTTTTCATAAAGGTCGGTGGTAGAAGGGACAGAGAAAAGGAGAAAAAGATAAGCCATGCGGCCTGTGGCGTCTGTAAATTCCTAGTTGCAGAATGATACAATTTGATGCCTCGAGAACTTAGCTGTTGTTCATTAAAAATTCCTACCAATGGAGGCTGATGCTGTGCCTGTCCCATAAACCACTCTTACTCCTGGGGCAGGCTTTGCCACTCGTGTTGAGTCTGCCTGTGGCGGTGGAGGACAGTGACATTCGCCTGGAGCTCAGGCAGCCGTGGCCCTGCTAAGCCACCTGGCCCCGGGGCCGTGTCTCCCACGAGACCTGCCTGATGCTCTGCCTGCCCTGCGCAAGCCTGAGGCAAACAGGGGGTACCCCTGCCTCCCCCCGTGTACCCCGCGCCCCGGCTCGCTCTGACCCTCTCACCCACATACCACTAGTTCTGTTCTGATCCACAGGGAATGACAACCGTTTGCCTCCCAACTGTCTTTTAACAATAACTGTTGTTTTGAGATGTTCAGTGCTCTGTAGTGTCCCCAACAACTGGCAGAATGAATAATTTTTAACTTGATTTGCTCGTTTCATTCCACAGTGTCCCCTCCCTCCTCCTCCCCGAAGACTGGCTTGGTTTCTAAGGCCAGGCTGATAGCAATTCTCGTTGGTACCGTGAAACTGGTTCTAAGGTCCCCTTTTTTAAATCATACTTTCATAGCAGTAAAAGCATTACATTGGACACACTGGTAGCATCTTATTTAGTTCAAGAACCAGGATATGGATGATCTCCCCTGAGGGGTTTTGCCTCTGAAGTTTTATTAAATAGGCCCCAAGAGTCATGGGACAAGAGCACAGGGCCTGGAAAAAGTTAGTGAAGAAAGCTGAGCAAAGTTTCTAACTGGAAGTCAAGGTTAGGAAGTTATTTTCCAATGTCGCGTTCTAGCGGTTCTCAGTGTTAAGCTCCTACTTAGAGTAAAATCAGCCGCGGATAATAGCTCCCCGGCAAAAAAGTACCCCTTCCACAGAAATCTGTTCGTGACGTTACCAGCAGCTGGCGGGGCCGAGCGGGAACCCTGGTGGGGGCGAGCCCAGGCCGTGGGTCCCTGGCCGGGCCCAGCCCGCCCGCTGCAGCCCCTCGAACCGGGGCTCCCGGCCAGGGAACTCCCCGCTCCGCTCCCGCTCCCGCTCGGCCCGAGGCCGGGCCGCCGCCGCCTTCCCCGCGGGGTAGGGCCGAGCCTCGCCGGGCCCGTGGCAAGTTATTAAGTGACGCGGTGCCCCGGCATGCAGCTGTAGCAGCACCTGTTTCAACAGTTCTGTATTCCTGAACAGACGAGGGGCAGGTGAAGGTTTTTATCGATTTCTGTTGGGCCTTTGTCTCTCTTCTGGTTTCCAGCGTGCTCCCACAATGGCAGGTGGAGCTGGAGCAGCTGGCAGCTAGTTAAGCATTGCCAGTGTCTTTTGTCTGATGCATAATACAAAAATCTCCAGCCCATCTCAGAGTTTATAATCTAATCAGTGCGTGATTAATTATTAAAGCTATTTTGGCGCTGCTGTTACAGACAGAAGTAAAATTTCAGCATGCCGATCTCTTATGCTGTAGCTCGAGCAGGAAGAACTTGTCATTTTTATATCAAATATTTCTGACAGTGATCACTGGGCAACAGAAGTGGACAAATAGTATTTTAATGAGGAATACTCAGAATATCTGGTGTCAAACAGCATAAAGCATTAGCTGGCAGCAGCATGGAGCAGAACACTGTCTTTTTGATCTTTTTTTTTTTTTTTTTTTTAATGGAGATAACTAAATACTGCTTCAAATAATTGCTGCATTGTTTGTTATTGGAGTAAAAAAAGACTAACTGCACATCACCCAGGTCTTAGTTTGGATGATGGCGAGATGGAACGTAAATTCTCCCTGCAGAGTTCCTGTGCCTCTCCACTTGAGGGTGAAGCTCTGAGGTTGTGAGACGGCTTGCAGATCCCCCTTTTGGCAAGGCTGAACTATGTTAAATGACTACAAAGGTGGAAAAAGGGGTCAACAGCAGACTTCCATGCAGAATGGAAAAAATCCCCCTAGTATTTTTTTGCAAGAGAAAAGATTACAGGATGATTGGAGAATATACAGAAGGATTTTATGCCAGTAAACTTTTGCTGAAATCCTTACTTCCCATACATTGACTGAAGCAGTCAGTATCTCTAAACTTCAGCTCCTGCAGACCTCAAGGGTATCATAAGTTCTGCTGCTGGTAAGTAAACATCTTGTGTGTGGGGTGTTTACAATACAGGAGCTACTACACTGAAAACAGCAGCATGTATCAGGCAGATTATGTAGATACCCTGTTCAGCCTTGGTTCTGGTCTGCGCAGACATGACTGGTCCAACGTGACTTAAAGCGCAATAGCAGAACTGATTCAGCCACAAGGTTAGCTGCAGCAAGAACTGTTTTCAGCCTACAGAAACAGACCTTCCCTCTTTGGTATTGTGGATTAGGCTACATTGGGTTTGGTAGATTCAGGGAAGGTCAGCACAGAGCAGAAGAAGGAACAGGCTCAGAGTAAAATCAAGATTATCCAAACTTTGTATTATGAAATATTAGCTTTACATTTAGCCGTTTCAAAAGTTGTTATAAGAAAAAAAACCCAAACAAAATAATTTGCAAAAATAATGAATTTTGAAAATGACCAGTATGGTGCATTTATTCTGCCCACTGACAAAATATAAACACAGAATATGTAAAATTTTACATTCTTCAGCATTTTCTTCCAGGAATCTTAATACATTGCAGACTTTGAGATAATCCTCATATCCTTGAGTGCCTGGAGACAATTCATTCCATAATTGTAAAAATATAACTTGTTTAACCTTTTTCTAAACAGGCAATGCTAGTTTGTATGAAATAAAATAAAGAATTAGATCAAAAAAGTTGTCTGATATGGCGTCGCTAGTTCTAAAATGGGTACGTTATGGTTTTGACTAAGTTTTATGGTTTTGAAGCAGTTTTGAAAACCTATTTATATTCTGTGCCACTAGTCTGGAAGGTCCTTGTTTTCCTGTGTGTCTGGAAAAGGGCATTTTTGTTTGTTACAATCCAGCATTGATAGAGATTCTGTGCCTCTAGAGAAGAGAAAACCCATGAAAACACTTCTATTTATACCTTAGCTTTTGTTAGTCCTGATTTGTCAGAAGCTGGTTCACAACTTCAGTATAACTATTTTTATACGATGCTGCCCTGAGAAGCTTTTTGAGGAAAGTGCTTTGTAAGTGGAAACTATATTGTTCAACAGTCTTTCCAGCAAGTAAGGCATTTTTCAACCAATCATGCGTAGAATAATAGGATGCATGTCACTTATACAATAAGATGACTTCCTCACCAAAATAATTTGGAGGTCAAGAGGCTGAACGCTGCAGTTCACGGTGTTGCAGCAGTTGCACTGCCTTGTTTCAGGGCAACCTCCTGCTCTGCCTTCACCCTCCCAGCCTGTCCTCCTGGGCAAGAGTAATGGCAACCACCTAAGAACAGGATGGGGCTCTGGCTCCTGAAGCCTGACGCTGTTATTGAATCTCAGAAGAGTTTCCTCAGGTGATGTTTCAAGAAATCACAATGTATGCTCTGTGTATTACATGGATTCATTCCATTAAATACACTGTAAGAGCATGCTACCAAGTCCTAAAAGGAATGATGCATTGTACAGCAGTACAAGAGAAACATTAGGCATGCCCATAATGACAAATTCTTCGTTTAGTGGATAAATAAAAACATCAATCCAAAAGCTGTCAAAAACTGCATTATAATGTAGGATCAACGATATTGCTTGCAATGATGCTTACAGTCTCCTAGGAGCACTCACAGCAGTGCACAGATGAACGAAGCCTGAGGATTACACTGATTTAGTGCAGTCTAAATGCATGGCAATGCAGAGATGCCCAACTCTGTTGAAGGAATTGGGCCTTGGAGAATTCCTGTTGTATTTATAGCACTCCATAACCGTGTGATACTGGATTATGCTAAGGATGTTATCGCTCTGTGTCACATCTGCTCAACATTCCTTGCTGTACCCTTGCCTACGCTGTACCCAAACTACAAATTAGCCCTACGTCACACAAAATTATCTGTCAGCAAAGACACTCACTACCCATTCCTCTTAAGTAGGGAAAGCCTATGTCTTCCTACAAGAATCCCTGGGCTGTGTTTTGATGAAAGGTTACTAGTGGAACTGGAGAAACACTTTCAGCCTTTGGGATATATTCAGACACTCTTGTGCCAAGAGGGTCTATGTCTCAGCTATGGGATAACTTCAGCTGAAATGCTCAGGGAGCAAAATACCCCTTGGTAACAGTGGTTGAATTAGTTATACAGCTGTTTTTTTTTTTTTTTTGGTCTTTATTTCTATGATTTCCTTCTCCCTGAAACAGCCCATGTTTATCCTCTATGTGATGGAGAATAGTTTATTTCTGGAAATGTTACTGGTCGTTTTTTTTGGCTTTTGCATTTATTTGCCTGTGCAATACTTTTTTTTTTTGGGGGGGTGGGGGGTGGGTGGGAGTGGTGGGGGTGGTGTAATATTTCTTCCCCCACCATTTTTCCTTATGTTTCACTGGAGTGATATTTTGGCAGTTTGAATTAAGAGAGTTTAAATTAAACTA